CCCGTTCGAAGTGTTGGAAAGCTAATGAACAGAGCTATAACATAGGATAGATAATGGAATTGTTTTCCCAATATTTTATATCTAATTATGTTTGAGAAGTCAATTGTGTATATGTTTTAGTAACGAATCATGTTCTGGTTCAATGATGTCTTGGTGTTTTGATAGATGTGGGCCAAGATGATCGAATGTGGACAATCTTGTGCTATTGTGGTAATTCTCGAGAGGATTACGGTGAGCGGATGGCTCGTGTGGATCAAGATTGATCATGAATTATGCATGATGTATTACATTGCATAATTGTGTTGACATGCATTTTATATCATGTGTCTTGTGGAGATGGCTAGGTGGGAATCCATGATGGGTGCCTAGTTTCATTCGGACTCCATTGTGGAAGTCGTTGTGGAGATAAGTTGTAGCTCAGAGGAACGTATATACGACTTATCCGGATTCCGACGAGAATCGAGTTCTAGTGTGAACCGTATGAGATTGTGTTGGTACCACATGCATTGTGTCGAGTCAGTGAGTCACATTGCATTATTGTAATTGAGTGTGGGCTATGAATGCCAAGTGATTGAGGTGGCACGTGTATGTGCGTTATTTGTGCTTATTTTATGTGTGGTGTGTAACTACTCCTTAACATGTGTATTTCACCGTTTATTTATTGAATGTAGTTCTCACCCCTTTTTGTTGTTGTGTTTGTGCTCTCTTGGGAGTACAGGTGACCAGGTACCTGAGTAGTGCTTGGAGTGTGTTGCTATTTGATCGAGTCTTAGGAGTCGCTCTGATACGTAACATGGGATGACGGGATTACGTTGTTATTTGACTACTTTATTTGTTTATTGTTACATATCTTCATTTATTGGACTTATGTTGTATGACCTCGTGTCGAGGAGAATTATATTGGAGAATTGATTTGTATTCTGCTGCTTACTTGAAAACTAAATAATATTGAATTATCTTAATGGAATGAAGTGACTTAGTGTGATATCCCACTGTGTTGGAAAAATCTGATGAATTTTAAGAATTATTTTTCTATATTTATTATATTACGCGTACGGGGTAAAGTGGGGTGTTACACTTTGCACAAGTAAGGCGGTCCTTGCTTAAGTTCAGCAAGGTCCATTTCGCCATCGTCGAAACTCAGAGGCTCATCGCACAGACCTTCGACGTTCTCATTATATTCGACAAACGCTACCTTTTTATTTTTATTAAACTTAGCCTTTTCGTCTTTGAGTCTTTCAAGTTGTCGAACTCGATCGGCTATTTGGGCCATGTCCCTTAGATACCGGGTATCCAACTTTTTCCTAATAGAGTAGTCGAGACCCCCGGCAGCCATTTCGACCAACTCATGTTCAGGGACCTGCGTGAAGCATCTGGCCTTAAGCAACCGGAACCTATTAAGGTATTCCTCTATTGGCTCAGAAAACTTACGCTTCACACTAGCGAGTTCCTTTAAGCTAATTTTAGTCTGACCCATATAGAACTGTTCATGGAACAAACGCTCTAACTGGATCCATTTGCACACCATGTTAGGTGGAAGTGTTGTGAACCAGGTAAAGGCGTTTTTAGTAAGGGAACTTGGGAAGTATTTTATTCTAAGGCTTTCATCGTTCGCTATCTCTCCAGCCTCGATTAAGTAACGAGTCACATGTTCGACGGTAGATTCCGTCGTATCTCTTGAAAACTTAGTAAACTTGGGTACTTTCGTCCTAGGAGGTAACTCCGCCTGAAGGATATAGTCTACTATAAGTGAAGTATAATTTGGCCTGGTGAACCCATTGTTTAGCCCATTTTTGGCCATAATTCTCTCGACCATGGCTGCTAGATTATTGTCGACGGCCACGTGGTTTCGTCGAACTTGCTGGACTACATTATCCGCGTCTTGGTTCCTATTCACAACCACTACTCCCGGGTTTCTTTCTCCCACGACACGATGCTGATTTCGCAATGGTTCTTCCCTGAGATCTTCGACGACAGGAGGGGCCATCCTTCCTTGGTTCCCTACGTCGACTTCTTCCATATTCGCCAGGTTGTCTCGTGGGGTATCCGCTTCTGCGGCTTGGTTTCTGGTTAAGGGGGGTACCCCCATGAATTCAGCCAATCTCGTTAATTGCACCGCCAATTGTTGATTGGTCTGAGTTGTATTTTGGATTAATGGTTGAAATATTTCACTCATGGTTTGTGACAAAGTCTGACCATCTGTAGGTTACTTTCATCCATCTGCTGTCTTAAACAAGCAACTGAGGTATTGGTCAAATTGGGGCCTTGCGTCGAATACCCTAAAATCTGACTTTGGTGGTTTCGACCCATGTTCACGTCTGACCCTGACCCTTGTAGTGGCGAAGCCATCGCCTGATCTAAGAATATGGGAGATGCACTTTGGAGCCCTTGCATCATGGCGGTGGGCATCCCATATGGGGGATTTCTTGGTGATTGTGAAAAGCCAGGGGGCCCAAACTGCCTGGACGTCGAACTTCCTCCTAACAAAATCTGAGGATTCGATGTTTGATGACCAATATACTCCAACACTGGTTGAGTATAAGGTCTTATCACTGTCGATCCAACCCCAAGTACGAAAGGTGTCAGTACTGGCCTCACAGGAAGCACCGTTTGTTCTCCAGTCGACGGTATCGGAGGGGGAACTCCCTCGTCTCTTATTCCCTCGATGGAACCGTCTCCTTGATGGGTGGGGTTATTTGGCTGGTTCGTATCCGTAGCCATGTTCCTAACGTTCCGTCTTGGTCGTGTCTCTTCGTATACAACGGCAGTTTTACCACTTCTTAGTAACATAAAAATGTACCTCTCACGAAAAGGACCAGTACGACTGCAGAATTTTTATAAGTTCAGTTTTATAAAACAGATTTTCTAGCACGGTCCCACTGGGCGTGCCATTTTGTTTCCCTTGAAAATCGGAAAACAATCGCTGATCTTCCAAATCTAACTTTGGTGACTCACAGGATCGATCAGATTGATCCTAGGACATGTGCTAAAAAGGTTTTGTTTTTGTTTTAAGAATCTATTCAAGTTCCACACTCGAACAGCATTGGGGTGAAAGAATCCTAAAGGAACAACTATTCGACTACGGATTAATTTAAAGATAAAGTAAGGCTTTCAATAAAAGAGAAGAAAGTTTGTAGGTAGAGGTGAGATTAGATTGAGGACGAAGAGAAAAGAATTGTATAGGAAGGAGAAAAGTAAAGTAAGGAGAACAAGGGGTAAAGACAATAAAAGACTTTGTAAAATTTAAAGTAAAAACAAGTAAATTGCATTAAGTTAAAAGATGGTGTGTTTACATCACGTACATTCTCTTACAATACTCGCTTTCTCTACACTCGGATACTTGGAGTAATTTCAAGAGTAATTTGTACAATAGTAAATTACAACACACTTTGGATATGTCTAAGACACCCTATTTATAGTAGTAAAAATAACCTCCATCATCACCTCCTTGCGCCATTTGTCACAAATGCATGGTTATACTGCCCCTAGAGTGACACGTGTCTCCCTCAATATTCAACAAGCAAAACCGTTCCCTCCAATATTTGAATTTCAAAATCCTTCGACGAACCATCCCTCTCAGCAAGCGGTCGAACTCCTGGCTTTTGGGTGAGTCTTTCGACTTCTTCTTCTGACTGCTTTGCTTCTTTCGACCATTCTCTTGTACTCAACTTATTTTTTTACCCTTTTGTCTTGGATACCTTCCTTCTACATGAGGCGTCGAATTTAGGAGCTAACACGTAGATGTCTATTTTCAGTTTTTCATAAGTTAAATAGAAGAATGATGTCAAACATTCCAAGATAATCTTGCAATAGACTATGTTGAAATTTAGAGAAAGACACATTTGTGACACATCTGCATAACACGATAAAATAACTTTGATACCCTTCGCTCTACCATTGCGTTTGACCCAAGCGCATGTTAGGTCCAATGGTTTGTTATAGGGAGGTGACTGCGGTGCAAGGGGGAAAGCTCATTCGATATAGTTTAGAGATATTCTGTAATTTCGATTGTAGTTACATATACAGCTTCTAACACTAAATCTTAAATCATTCAAACACTAGAATCTATAATTTGAAACTAAAGTAGTTTTGTAGTCCAGAGTCCAGACATAAGTACATTTGAAATGCATAAACAAAAATTACATTAGTTATTATTCACCCAAAAAGAATTATCAACTTTTAGTTGAGTAGCTCTTTCCATTGCCAATAACAACTAGCACGGTGCAAAATATCACAAACGTGAGATTTGTGCTTTTCCAAAAAAGAATTGTCTTCAAAGTTCAAGTTGATATCAAATACTAGCATACTGAATCAAAATACTCCTTTATTTTCTAGAAAGAGCAATATTTAGTTGTGGAAATAATTTTTTATTTAATCAAAATATAAATTAATTAATTTTATTATTTATATGGAATGAGTTACATTGAATTATTTTTATTCTATTTCATTTTATTCAATTTTCTAATTTGCCGCCCTATTCCCATATTTTGTGATCAGAAAAAACTCAATCAATGTAGATTTTCCTCGTCAAACTCAAAGGGTGTTCAGGTGGATCTCCAAGGATATGGGTTATGTTGCCACTTCAAATTTTGTGTAACAGATTCCAGATTCCGTGAGTTGTTGCACAAGATGTTGATCAAGTTGGCTGTATGATTTGTTGCTAAAGATGTTGATCAAATTGCGTTGAGGATCAATTTCTTCTCTACTAGCATTATTTACAACTCATAATACATTAATTTTGGGAAGTTGCCACAATTTTGTGGCATTTCATGCCCCAAGACATCCATGAAACTTGGTATTAACTGTCCAAGATACTATATTACAACAATATTATAAAAAATTTCAACTATGAAATCCTTCAACTAAAAATTCTCAATGATATTTTTTCATGACCTTACATGATGTGAGGAATAAAACTACCCCCAAATGTATATGTCACCTCCTCCAGAATCTTATATCACAGTCCACAAAATAAATGTGGTCGAGAACAATACTTGGCATCATGGTGACAACTCAAAATTTCTCTCCAGAATTGAGTAAACTTCAGCAAGAGAAGTTACCTTGAAATCTGGTTTGAAATCAACATTAGCATACTCGGGAGAATCGTATCTTCCAGTTTGATCAAGCAGACACGTATATGCTCCTGCTCGCCCCCCACAAGCCACCTGCAAATTGGTATTAAAAACAAGCAAATTCAATCAACTAACCATCCAATTTTCAAGTACATCTGAATCCATAAAAATTTAGTAGGAAAATAATGTGCATAGAATTGAAAGAAATTGCTTTGAGCAGTTTTGAAGTTGCCCTGTGCAGGTCACTTATTTGTGAAGAACACTCATCCTTATGGCAAATTAAATGCTGCGCTATCAGAAGTGGCATATAATTGATATGGATAAAGTGATGCCAAAAACCACAATGCCATAGTGAAAGGCCTAAGTCATAGGTTTTGTCTATCTACTACAAGCAATCACACTATATGTTTGCAGACTGATGATTAAATTTGTGCACTGACTAAAAGGTCTACTAGTCAGCACCCAGCATTGCATAACAAACTATATGAAAATTTCAAAATAGCTTGTTACATTTCTATCCTTTTTGGATTTTGCTGTGAAAACATTTATCGTTCGTTCCACATTTCTTCCTTTGATTTTGCAATTGTTATTTATAATCAAAGGTGAACAAGCATTGTTTCTATATAAACACCAACCAAATTAGCATAAAATAAACTACTTACATCATCTTTAAGGCTATCCCCAACCATTATTACTTCATTAGGTTGAACTTCCCAAAGAGAACAAATATGCAGTAATGGAGCTGGATCGGGTTTATAAGGCCGAAATTCCCTGCTTAATGCCGGAGAAAATGTAATCTGCAGCAAAGAGGCATAACATATAATTCAAAAGATCAAGACTTATAAAAGGCTGAAATTCCCTGCTTAATTAAGTGTATATCACTTATGCATAAGTCATTTCTATAGCAAGATATAAAATATCTTCAAATTGCTTTCATATAAGCTATTCTGAAGAGCTTGAGAAAATAAGCCAAAAACAGCTTATTTATGAACCCTAACATGAAACAGGCAATATAAAAGTAAAATATAATTGAATCCAACTCTGAATTCCTGTAACTTACCCCAAAGCGTTGGTGGAACAAATCAACCGCAGACTTCATATTCCGCGTGATCAATCCCCTTCTCATTTTCTTCGAATCAAGAACATTACAAAGCTCAGCAGCACCTGCAAGATAATCGAATCAATTAACCAATTAATACAAGACGCAAACGAAGAAGAGAATTGGAAATGCAATTAGGTAGTACCGGGCATAATTTGGAGTTTATCGAGAGCCTGTTGTTCGAAACGGGCGATGGTATCATAGGCTTGGCGTTGTTGATGTGAAGGCCAGTGGTCGATGAGTTTCAAGATGTCGATTCCAACAGGGTTTGAGGCTTTGATGCGACGATACTCGTCGTCGCCGAGGACGGCTTTGTACATGGAGACGAAATCGATGACGGGGACGGTGAGTGTGCCGTCCATGTCGAAAACGACGCCTCTGAGGCGCGTTTTGGTGGCGGAGTGTGACATTCGGGGGAAGAGGAGAAAAGCCTTTGTGGAAGAGAGCAATGGCATCTATCGAGTAGACTATAGTATAATGGTTGTGTATTGGATAATGAGAATAATATTCTTGTTATTATTATTTATTTGAGGTGGTGGTTCTGTGCGTGCTGATACCAAATTTCTGGTTTTGGTGCCCACAACATTTTTTATTTACTTTTACAATTGTTTCTTATGTTCCTAATACAACGTCGCTTCTTGTCAACGTCATGTGTGACCCAAATACAATTTATAATGTTTTTCACATTTGAAAATTTGTTTACACTGTTATTCATTTTTATTAAAAATAATATTAATCTGTATTATATGATAATTTAAAATTTACCTGTGACATAGATGTATTAATGCATATCAATTAAGTTTTTAAAACGTTATTCAATTCATTTTAATATGACTCGCATTTAAGGATTTTACATACAAATTAAAAAATACAATAATATTGTCAGTATTAAAAAATATTACACTGACATTCAATCAAATTATTTAAAATATTAAATCATAATAGTATTTTGAAATAAAAATGTGACGTATCAGAATACATGTCTGTTATTAGTTGTCTGTATATTTATTTTTTTCTTACACTTTTTAAAATTATTTATTAATGTGTTAGAAATAATATATTTAATATAAATAAATTAAAAAATTAAAAAAATAATAATTATTACTATATTAAAAAGTAAAAATAACCTTTATTTTAAAACAAAATTTTTTTTCTTAACATCACAATCATTTTAAAACTGATAGAATATTTTATTTAACACACCAAATTTGTAATTGTAACATCCTTAAAGGTACAAATTAAAGTACAAGTTAAAAGTAATGCTAACATTTGCCTCAAGATACAAGGTAATAATTTATTTGTAGGAATATCCTCTTCAAAATGCACACATTTTACTTTTTGAAACTTAAAATATTATTTTATTTAATACAAATTTTTTAATTGTAATATCATTAACTTGTATACTTATGTCACAAGTTAGCAAACCTTTAGTTAAAAGTGTATTAAAAATAAAATGAGTTACGTTTAAATATATATTTATGCAAAAATATGGATGTCAAATGCATATATATGTTCTCTCTTTTCAAGAGTGTAGTCTAAAAGCTTATGTCAAAATAATGAAGGTGGTCCGGCATGGATCCTATGAATTTTGCATCTATAAAATTTAAAAGTTGTAAAAATTTGTCATGTGTGTCCTGTTAATGCTCTCGCTTGTAAAAAAAAAAGACCGGGCCGAGGGAGAGAATCATAGAGGATAAAAGTTTAAAATTTTAGTTTATTTCATGAAAAAATGCAGATAAAACAGATATGTCTGGCCGATCAAACCCGTTTCGCTTCGCCATTCAAATAAAGAGCCGAACAATAAATGTAATTAAATTCAAAATTTACAAATGTTAGATTTTAATTATTGCTCGAAAATTGTATGATCCTATTAATAACAAAGTGATCATTAATAGAGATGTTATTGTAGTATAATTAGAATAATGGAATGGAACTTAAAAGTTGAAAGTTTTTCAGTTTTAAGTCTGTATTAGTCACAAGCAATCCTTTTAATTTGACTCTATTGAGAAATAATTGTGATCTAAATGAAGACAATCAAATCCCAAATATAACATAAATAGATTTTTTAATAGTCAGTGGAATTAACACAATAGAGCACTAGGGGTTAATTAGAAACGCTTAAGGCAACTAATCGGAGAGAAAAACCAATCAAAGAAAACACAAGAGAAAGACGTGCTAAACTCCGAACAGAGTCATCTCCAAGAGAGGAATTTGATAGAGTTTAACGCATCTCGACGATAAACGGCAAATTCCGAAAGATCAGATTGTTTCTACCATTCCACAGAATCCACGCAACAAAAGCCCAGATAATGACTTCATGCTCGTCCACTTAAGTCATCTTACACCAAAATTCATCTTCTTCAACAAAAATCTTAAGTAACTCCAACATATGCAATATATGCTCGTTTAAAGTCCACCTTCAACACCATACACTCGCTCTTTGAGCGTCTCACAAGGTATAAAATTTCGTTGACTACCACAACCCCGCGGACATACTCCTATCAGCCACAAAAATTGTCTGCTCGATAGATATAAGACTCCCGACTACCTTCTTCAGCCTGTTTGCTAAAATCTTCAAAAGATTCTTTTGGAACAAATTGACTACATAAATAAGCATAGCTAACGACGTATAATTAAGGACCTTTGGAACAAGAGTGATAAAAGACGCCAAAGTTGCCTTAGACAATGTAGGCTTAGAGTAGAAATCCACCACAAAATGAGTGACATCCCTCTTCACAACCTCACAACAGTTCTGTTGAAAACAGAAAGAGAAACCGTCAGGCCCATGACTTTTTGAATAATTGCAACTCCGCACTGCTTTCCTGACCTCAGCTTCCGAAAACTCAACCTTAAGAAGTCTCCTATCACTATCTGAGAGGCACCCCAAATCTACGCCACTTAGAATCAGTCTCCACCTGTTAGCCTCTTGGAAATTTGCCTCGAAGAAGTTCTGAACCTCTCCTTTGACTTCATCCACTTTAACCTTCTTACTTCATCTGTGTTTACGAAGGAAATGAAATTCCTCCTAAACCTTTCTCTCATGACCCTATGAAAGAAACTTGAGTTTCTATCACTCTCCTTTAACCACAAAGCTCTGGATTTCTGACGGAGTAAGCTTTCCTTCAAATTAAGTTGATTCCAAACTTCCTTCGAGGCTATCTCCCTTTTAGAAGACAAATCATTGGCTGCTGTCACGCAGGGACTGCTAGCTTGAAGATCCAACTCGTGCAACTCCTTAACTGCTTCGTCCACCTTCAAGTCAATCCAACCAAACACTTCGAATTCCACTTCTTCGGTCCCGATTTCAATAGTCTGGGTTTTTCTTTCAACACAAAGTCTCCTCTACTCAAAAGGTTAAACGACGACCACTCTTCCTTAATAAACTTAGTGAAATCTTTGTGGTTGAACCAACTGTTGTTGAATTTGAACGGCTTCAGCTCCCAATCCTCTACGCAAGCTTTTAACCAAAATCAGGAAATGGTCTGATATGTCTCGACATCCTACAACTTGACACATTATCTTCCACTTCTCTGCTAAAGAATCTGAAATGAGGAATTTATCGATTTTGCTCATCGCGGTACAAGTCCTATTGAACCACGTGAAACGGCCGCCTAAACAAGGAACGTCTATGCAGTCAAGATCAACAATAAACCTACAGAACCCTTCCATCTCCCCTCTTCTAGACCCACTACTCACCCATTTTCTTTCGGAACTGCAAGAAACGGCATTAAAGTCACACACACGCGCGCACACACACATGTTATACTTCCCTTTAAGTTCAATCAGATCCTTTCACAACTTCTTCTTAAGCTCAGAATTATAAGGAGAATAGACGTTCACCAAGAAGATCTCATAGCCCCTTCAATCTGCGTTAACCTCCACACAATCCTCACCCTTGAAGCTGAAAGAACGGTTTAATAGGTTCTTCTTCCATAAGATGATCAAACCTCCTGCCGACCCAAAGCTTCTAACTCAGACCAATTCACACTATCATCTCCCCAAAAAGAGGACACTAGTTTAACGTCCACTAAGCAGAGCTTAGTTTCTTGTAAGAAACACACATCAACCTTACCAGACTGAATCTGAAACGCAACTCTCTTCCTTTGGACGACTTTGCCTCCCCCTCTGATATTGTAAGACATAAAATTCATTGATTAACAACTTTAGCTTTCTCTCTCTTAAGCTTCCCTGTCTTGTCCCTTTCTTCCATTCTGATACTGGTAGGCCTATGAGAACTAGACAAATGTCAAAGTCGAGCAGGCAAAAAGGTCATGAACTGAATCATAATGGTGCAATTTCATCTTTCTCTATATGTCACTTCAGAATCATTAAGTTTTGAATAAGCAATGCAAAGTAAGGAGTGGAAGAATGTTATGGTGGAATAGATTAATGCAATTGAAAAGAATCAAACATGGTACTTGATTGAGTTACCAAGGAAACAACACAAGATAAGTGTCAAATGGATGTTGAGGCTCAAATTGAATGCATATGGGACTATGTCAAAGCATAAAGGTAGACTAATGACAAAAAGATTTTATGTAAAAAGAAGTTAATTACATTGAGTTGTTTGCATCAATTGTAAGGATTGAAAGAATTAGATTGGTAATTGTCATTGCAAGCAGAAAAGGTCGACCTCTTTTCAATTAGATGTGAAATCAACGGTTTTAAACGATAGAAGAAAAAGTTTATGTATCACAATCTTAGTTATGGAAGAAAAAAAAAGATGATAATGTATGGTGTATAGATTGACCAAAGCTACATCTATATAATAATAACAATTTAAAAGCAAAATTTAATTTTGTTGTAACTTACTTTCTTACCAATTTTACTCTTAGATAACTTACGTAACAACTTTTATTAAAATCACTACTATTATCTTTTACATAATTTTTTACTATTAACTTTCTATATAACTTTCATTTAAAATTAAAATTAAACAAAAAAATATCTGCTTCATCTAGGCTTCAAATCACTATTATTATCTTTTACATAATTTTTTACTATTAACTTTCTATATAACTTTCATTTAAAATTAAAATTAAACAAAAAAATATCTGCTTCATCTAGGCTTCAAAAATATGTGTACGTAAAGTTTTATGATGGTAATACATATTTGCCGTTGATTTGTCTATATGTTTTGATGATGATCTCACTGCAGTAAATGAGAAAGAAAATGAAGATCTATGCATATACAAACTTTCATTCTTCAACTTCTTATTTTAGCCTACTTGTACAATATTGTACACCCTCATTTTTCAATGGATGCGCATTTCTTTTCATTTTTAATTTATGGCGATTTTGGAGGGAATAAAATGGATTGAGCTGTAGCTAGCAATAATCACATGCCACATCTCATCGCTATGAACAATCCCAATTCTGGTAGGTTTATTTGTTTAGTTTTCCTTGTCCTTATTTGTTCAATTTTCAGGAACATAGGTCTTCTGTAGTCTCTAATTTTTACATGTATCCGGATGTTTGTTGCAACCCCGTTGCTTTGCTAAATCAACTATGCCAGAATTATTTTTGATGTGTTAAAGAATAGTAATCTTTCTCAAGGAATCAATAAGCAGGAACCCGAAAAAATCATTTTGAAAATAGCTGGACTTTGTTATCATTACAAGAAGAAGCAGGATCCTGGAGACAATTACAAAATGCATCTTCATCCTTAGGAAATGATGTTGGTAGAGGATGGTCAGGAATGACACCAACCTACATGCAAAAGCAAAGTGTTAAAAGTTAAAAGGGGAAGCCAAGTTTTTTAAAGATTGAAAATATTATAGCAGACCTTGTTGATATCAGTGTGTGCAGGTGTCTCGTAGCGAGCAACTGTAACAACTAGTCCTGAGCCATCTGAGAGCTCAAAAACTGATTGGATCTTCCTGCAACATGTGTAGCTCATATTAGGAAAATAGTATAAATTTTAGTTTGTTTGAATTGAGCTAAACCTAAAGTAGTTTACCCTTTTCCATATGTCGGTTCCCCGTATAATATGGCCCGCTTGTTATCTTTCAATGCGCCAGCTAATATCTCGCTTGCACTTGCGGTTCCCTTGTTTACCTGATTAGGCTCAAGATATTTAACTACTCATTATATAGTAGAGAACCATTGTGTTATGCATTTGAAACCAACTCACGCATGAAGAATACAATGATTTATAGTAGAGAATCACTGTATTATGCATTTGAACACAACTCTTTATATAAAACTGATGCAAGCGAGCATAAAGCAAAAGAAGAAAATTTACCAGCACAGCCAGGGGTTCAGAAGTTGCTAGAGCATTACTTCCATCTGTATCGAGTATATCTCGAACACCACGACTATCGCAAATATATACAATCACACCTTTGTCCAACCTGATTGATATATCTGTTAGAACTTGAAGCTGAATAATTTAAAAACAATAAATTTTATAAGGCGTGACTAGAAAAGTATTTTTTTTGTTGTTATTGGAAGAATTTTTCACGACCCAGTTTGGCAATGTCATATATTTTACAATGGTCAAATGTGTTTCTGATTATATGGTCATAGAACACTTATGGCCGATAAAAGGTGTGAATACTAGGTGTCACCTAGCTACGGAAATGAAATTATTATTAACTTGAATGATAGAGAAAGCATTTGCTTGAATTTCACGCCCCACCAGCAAAAACAAATATGCAATACAGGATGAAAAAATGTCATTAGTTGATAGCCATATCTTACCAAAGTTTTGCAATCTCAATTCCTTCTGGGAAAAGACCGCCGCTGCAAGAAATATAAGCTTCAGAAAGCTAGTGATTGAAAATAGATAAAGGGAATGCTGATTGTTTAATCACCTATTATCTCTGAGGTCCAAAACAAATGCATTTACATTGTTACTCCTGAATGTTTTAATTGCTTCTTTGATAGCACCTGCAAGGATGGTAGATCCATCAGGAAGAAAGAAAAGAGGCAGTAGCAATAGTTTTCGGAAATTTTGATTCTTCTCTATACCAAAATGCGAGTATAGCATGTAAGAACTATGGTTTGTCATATTAGGTAGAAACATGTATTAATGGTTACAAAATTATCCTTTTCTTTAGTAAAGAAGAAAAAAAAAAAGTCATCTTGGCCTATCAATTACTACTTACGAGATGCATTTTGGTTGAAAGATGTTAATTTTATATAACCAACAGTTGGGGAATTATCTCCTGAAGCAGGTAGCTTGCACAGTCTTGACTTCACTGGATTCACTGTAACTTTCTCTCGCCTGAAATGGATAAATTATTACTTTTAGTTGTTTAATTAGAAATTAAAAAGTTACCGTAAAAGAAAAAGGTAATTAACTAGGCCAATCAAGTAGTAGTGGTAGTAGTAGTAGTAGTAGTAGTAGTAACAACAACCATGACAAAATCAGCAGAATTAAATTAACAATGGTAGCAATGATTAGCCATATCAGTGTAATGCAACTAAATATAATAAAGCATTATCAAACTACAAGTTTTCTGCATGATCCTAGGTACCAAAGCATATTGTCTAAGGTCAAAGCTTCAAAATTAGTTCTGCTCTGGAAGAAAACTAACTTACGTTAGAGCTAGGTGCTTTATGTCTAAACCACTGCGAATGGTCAATGCAACAGAGCTTCCATCAGGTCCTCTGTAATTTCCTTTAAAAGGTCAGACAATCAAATAGATAAGCTCAAAGCAAATGATGATAAGTACCAGTAAATTTGATCTTTCAAATGGTTGCATACATCAACTTTAAAGTAACTAGAACCTTGTTATAGGCTCTAATATACTAGAGTCACGGACAAGCTAGAAAAACTTCAAGCAGAGTAAGGCAAAATAACCAGGTGGCATTGACTTCATGAATTAAACGGCAAAATAATATTCTGTCTTGGACCATATCTATAGGTAGACCGTTTAATTCTAGGTCTCATGATGATTTGGCCTTTAGTTTTTTTGTTCTCCCTCTACCTCTAACTATTGTTATTAACTATGCTCCATTTAATCTACCTAATTATTGATTTTTCACAGGTTCTCTCCACACATGTCTGAACCACCTGAGATCTCTTTTTTTCTACAACAATGGAAGCTATCTCAACTTTATTTCTAACGGCTTCATTCCTAATCCTATCTTTGTGTGATTACTGGTCCAACATAATATTATCATCTCTGCAACATCCAGTCGTATGCCACATTACAGTTCTTAAGGCACAATTACTAGCACAATCTTTTTATATGAAGCTATCAACACAGTAGTGGTACTACTTTTAACTTGTTGGGAAACTATTAAGACATTAATGCAATCGTATATGTTGATCTTTTGCACATTATTAACTGTTTGTTCTTTTTATCTTTTTACTTTTCCCACTTGTCTGAAAATATTGATTTTGAAAGCACAAGTGGCATCTAGGATGAAGAAAAACCCACTGTAGGCGATCGGCAGCATCATACAGCCCCAAGCTTTCTGTGCTCATACCATCAATTGCCAGGATAACATCTCCAGACAAAACACCAGCCCTATATGCAGGTCCTCCCGGAGAAGCTGAAATGACAACAAGTCCACCAGATGGCGTATCAGCTTTGGTAGGGTAGCCTATTGATATCCCCACTCCAGTTAGAGCGCCTTTGGTTCCAGACTGCCTTCAACAAAATATTAGTTTTTGATATTATCTGATATGCTTTATGCAGTAAGGACGACATGTAAAATAAGCTAAAGGAAAACTTAAAATGAGATAGATTTGTACCCTCAAACTTCTGAACTTCTCAGGCTCAAGAAATCTAGTGAAAGGATCCTCCAACGTAGCAAGCATCTTTCTTATCGCCATGTCTGAAAAAAAATGCAGTAACGGCAATTTTAAGTAATCTGGTAAACTTTTGACTGCATAGGATTATACAATCCTACTATATTCCAGCTGTGCCAAAATCAAGTGTATGATATTAAGGAATGATGTATGTAAAACCCTTATTTATAATAAAAGAAAGAAATCAATAATGCGTGATTAAAAAAAAAATCCCAATTATCAAGATCCATTTGGACAAGGTAGCCAGGTAAACAACTTGGCAATTGCATCATTTTATACGTTTAAACTTGTATCCACTCCACTTTGATACTTCATGTTTAAACGTGTGAGACGTAACCACACATAAAACCACTCCATAATAACATTCTCTGCCCCTTTTAAAAGGAATTCAAAAATCAATATGACAAAAAAATATAAAATCAAATCGGATCTACTTATCTTCACAACCTTGAATTGAGCCTAGAACTGAAATTATGATAAACACACCTCTATTAGAACTTAACTATTATTCAAAAAAAAATTAACTAATTCAAAGCAATTTGATTGGAGGTTAAATCATAAAAAAGTACCAGCACTTGGATATACCAAAGAGTTCTGGTTCTGGATAAGTATAGTTAGTTTAACATATTTCGCCATCAAATTTACATTCTCTTCACAAAAACTTTACCCAGTTTTCAATTAAACCATTTTACTCATCAAGCAAACATGAAACTATTCAGTGAAAAAGTGATACGGTAACTCCATTCTTCAATCCTTAAAGGTCAGTTGTAAATGATTTTCTATGAGAAAAGCAGAAACAACCTACCATCTTAAAACACTGTATTTATTCAGAAAATTGAAAAATTGAAGTAAAGTTAGAAAATGAAAGCCATACATGTCTCTTCCCGGTTGTTCATGGGTTCATTGCGCAATGCATTCTCTCTATACCTAAACCAACTCTGTCCATTAAAACTCTTGTCGATATATGCTCGGTCAATTGTTCTCCACGCCTCCAGAAACAGAAGATTCTCTTCAGTCAAGGCCCCTTGAAGGGTGAAAAAATAATGGAGATGAAATTAACACAGCAACCAAAGTATTTTACTACAAAAATTCAGTCTAAAAAAGCTCCAAACATAAATTAGATTATAGAATTCAAATTCAACACAAATTCATTATGGTGATAAAACTCACAGGAAGGGCTATTGGAAGCCAAAGAAACTGACACAGCCATTACCACTCCAGCAACCAGCCGCACGAACAACAGAGAAGCATGCTTCACTGAGCAATCCTTGTTACATATCCTCCTTTTGCGAAGGAAACCCCAACTTTGAGAAAAACAAGTGTTGCTTATTTTTGGAAGCGCTCCAAGTGAAAGTTTATTTGATTTGTTGCTGTTATGTGTGAGTGAAAATGAAAACCTTGATTCTGTTAGGGAAAAACAGTTACAGTTTGAAACCTGCGAAATAGTGATGATTAATGGATATGCATTTTAGAAATTGAAATATTGTTAATCTGAATGTGGAGATGAAAGAAGGGAACCTGAAGAACGGAGATTGTTGGGTGACGGAGGGGAAAGGAAGGAGAGCGCGCGACGACCTCCATGGAAGAGTGAAGGCAGCAGCACCACCTCTGCTTCAAACCACTCAATGCATTGTTTCTTTTACATTATCTTTCATTTTAAAAAATTAAAAATAAAAAAAATAGTACCAATAAATTATCTATAATATAAGAAATAATTGTTTTGGAATTTACCATTTTGCCTTTTGATTTTTTCCATCCACATCATTTTTTTAATGGCAACATATGTCTTTCTTCTGCTTTTTCCAACTGAAATGGTGTTTTCAATGTTATTCAATTTGTATTTACTTTGTAGTGTATTATGTTGTAATATGCAAGTTATTTATTTGATAAAAGAAACGTTATTAAGGTTTCACTAATCTGATTTTTGAAAATAAATATGTCATTTTTTCTTGGGAAACAAACCTACGGCAACTTCAACTTATAGCATATTGCAAAATAGTTTTCATTTTTAAGAAAAAACTATTTATCATTTGATTTTTTTACTACCCTTGTCCTTCTCAACCAAATAGTTGGTTTAAAATTTCTCTTCATTGTTTTCTTTGACATTTTCATCTGTTTCTTCTTCTACAAAATCCTATCTCTGAAGATCATATTCATTTTTGTCTGCTTTTAAACATCAACAGGACAAGACCATTTTCAGCTGGTGAAGGATATTAATGATAGTAACAAGTTATGGAAGATTGTTGTTAGAATCCATCACAAATGAACCGTGGTCTCAAAGAATAAGGAGCACTTTGAGATGGTTGTGCTTGATAAAGAGGTCGGCGTCTTTATTGAATCTTCACCTTTCATTGTAAAACGATAAAAAGGTTTCATTTTTTGAACATGTTTCCGTTTCTGGGTTTCGACTTTTTATCTTTTCAACAATTTTGGTAATGTCTTCAACTCACATACAACTATGTTGATTATTTGTATTTTATGTGATATCTTCAAAATTAGGGTTAAATAGTTATGATAATGCCTTTTATCAACATTCTTATGTTAAAATGGAAGTTCTCTTGAAATTTGTAAGCTCTGTTTTCATAACACCATTTTAAATATGCATGTATTTCTTTTCTACTACCTGAAACATAATGATGACATACTTTTTCTTTCAGTAGTTCGATATTTATATCAAAGTTTTAAATATGTTTAAACAAGCATTTAATTTCGTGTTAGCAGTCAATAACACTTATACAATTACAAATTTTTAAGTGTTGTTGAATGAATTGTTGTTCAAACCTTCTAACCATGAATATCTCTTGATCTTCACTGGTGGCACTTCTATTTGTGACAAAAACAAATATGACATACCTTTTAAAATCTTGAAGTTCACACCTTTTGAATGGTTGTCGACATCGCTTACATGCAATTAAAATCTGGGAGCAAAAAATAATAGATAAATTTGGCATTGAAGGACTTATGGTATGTCTATAACAAACCTGTAACATTCTAATTTTCTTTTATTTGTCACGTTTTTAAATTTTGTAGCTTTCTTGATTCTATGTATGTAGGAACACCATTATACATTATACCTTGTAGAAAGGATACGCATTGTAGTTTCGTGAATACATTAAACATAGGAAAGATTTATTTGTACCGACGATACTCCTTTTGCAATTTGCCAAAGTCAAAAAGGAAGTTTAAAACTCTAACATTATATATAACTACTCTTACTATGTTTCAGTTTGTATTGTGCACAACTTTTTATCTGTCTTTTAACTACCATATATGAAAGTATTCATTATGTGTTTCAAACACATTTAATGTAATTAATTAGTTGTGCATCGATGATAAATTAGCTGCGATTACAGATTTCCTAAATAGGTTCTCCATTCATGCAAATACTATATTTTATGTTTAACTTTATTTACATATACTATATATTTCCTTCAATGTACCGATACTTTTATTATTCTTTTGACATAGGATCCCAAAAATGTCTTTCATTGGAGGATCAAGTCAAACAATGACTTCACAATCACAAAACTGGTCTCAAACTTCTGGAAGTTCTCGACTTACCCCATATGATAAATTCATGTATAAGGCTACTGTTTTTCCTATCAGTCAAGTTTCACAATTTAAAGATGTAACAACTATTACTCTTATCTCATTTGAATGACCATTTGTTACTATGTCACCACTATATACATTTAGTCATTATTTTCATTTGACTCTCCCTACAGATCACTCAATGTGTTATAGTTGTAAAAACAGACAAACTGAAAGTGTCCCACAGAGGTTGGTATTACCAGGCGTGTCATGAATGTCCAAGGGTTGCCAAGGGACATCAACCACCTTATATATATGGTGTTGGTCACAATATAGAGACTGAAATTTACAGGTCAAACATTATTATCAATATAACATTTACTTTGACTTCTTTTTTTTTTTAATTATATAAACCTACTCTTCTTGCATAAATAGGTATAAAATTCTTATTGAAGTTGTAAGTAATGGACGTTGTGCTACCTTTGTATATGGGACTGTGAGTGCTCGTGACTCTTGAAAATTCCAGCGGCTCAAATGCGCAACAACATGCTTGAGGTCGACTTATATCTTTTAATCTTTGAGTGTGCATTTTTTTAGTGTATGGTCAATACTAATATATTTGTTACCCAATTCAAAATAGACCGGAGTGACTAGCCCTCTAGAATATCCTTTAGCACTTGAGGTTTTATTGAGTGTCACCATGTCATATAAGGTCAAGTGGCAACCATCATGGGATAATGCATCTGTTGTCTCTATCTATCAGGATGAAACTAACATCAAATAGTTATCCAGTTCATGTTGTAAACAATTGGTAGAATTGTTCCCGTGTTATATGTCTTTTGATCCTATCTAGTTATTCTATTTTAACTAACTTATTTTATTGCATTTAACATTAGACACCATCTCAACCTTCCGCCATAAAGGACCTATTGCATGTATTTGTTTATTTCATCGTGATTTTTCTTTGTGTAGACATGTATCAAGTTCTGCATAATTATGTTCGATTGTTGTTTGTTCCTTTGTAGATAAACGAAAGTGTTGATGAAGTTTTGGCAATTGAGGACTGGGATGTTGTTACTGTACATTTTCTAAATAATTTGTTCTAATTACTATTATGTAATCCTTCTATAATTTGTTGATTTGATTTTCCTAGCATATCAAAAGTTGTTTCAGGACCTTGAAATAACCTCCAACCATAACCTAGACCCAATCACACGCCAAGGTGTAACAACCCTCTTTGAAGCTACATTTGGATCAGTTACACATGTTCGCATTGGATCAGCTAGTTCCTGAGGGCTAAACTGCCACATGAAAGATGTAGGTATAGTTGGTGACATGTCCTCGCATGAGGAGCACGTGGAGAACTTGTGGAGAATGTGTGAGGAATGTGTCCTCTGTGGTTATGATGGATTGGGCCTGTGTTTGGCCTTCTTCAACATGGAGCTGGGTTGGGTTGTACCCGACGGTGGGCCAGCCGCAGGCCTAGTCCAGAACAGGAGCCCCCTAAGTCGTTGCTTTGAAGCAGAGGAGTAATGACTTAGAGTCAATTCTTATGTCGAAACGGGGAAAAGGAAATTTTCTCGGGGATAGCGTATACTCGGGTTCATGGTTGTGAGCTTGCGGAGCTACGCTCGCGAGAAAGCATGGAAGTTACGCTCGCGAGGTTCATGCGTGCTTGACGACAAGGTTCAGATCCGCATTTAGAGGCCATGTGCTCGCAAGAAGTCCAAAGTCGTTATCTGTGTTCGATAATGTAACGTGTTTCAAACCTTTCTCCGAGGACGTGCTCGCGAGACAATGTAGGAGTGGAAGGAGCAGACACGTCATTCCCTCAATCCGTACGACGGGGCTTTAAAAAGATAAGTGTGACGTCTCTTCGAGCCACGTGATAGAAATAATAAATGCCTCTGACGACCTATGAGTAGGGGTACTCGAGGGTTTAGGCGACGATTTGTTTCCCGTACCAGAGGATATAAGTATGAGGGAATGGGATTCATTTGGTACGCTCGCTATATTCTCAAGTTCTTCAAGAATTTTTTTGCTCTCTTCCATATTCGCTAGATGTCGTCGTCGCCGCCGTCAACCCTCTTTTCGTCACCATAGATCTCCAGCATCTTCTTCACCCAAATAAGTCTTTGTTACCTTTCTCATTTTGTCTGGTAGTTGTTAGTCTTAGAATGCAACTTTAGGATCCAGTTCCAACGAGTGTTGGCGTTTGAAGGTGGTTTTGCCATCATCAATTGCCGACTGCCACAAATCTCGAGTAGGAAGAAAATAAAATGCATATTTTTTGGCGACGCTCATGAACTTCGCGATGAGGTTAGGAAATTTTTGGCAATTTCTGTGAGTTTTTCGGGGGCGTTCTTGAACTTTTGATTTCTGTGAGTTTTTTCGGGGGAGTTCTGATGAAGTTTCTGAGGAACTCATGAAGTTTTCGATGAAGATTCGTAGGAACTCATGAAGTTTCCAATGATAATTGAGAAAAAAAAACAATATTATGACCAAACTATATGTGTATTAATACACTAGAGATATATGTGTGAGGGCAAAGCCTCATATATAAATGTGCTCGTTTCGATGATGTCAAAACTCAGCTCCATAGAAAAATATATGTTGGACGTTGTCACCATGTCATATTTGCATGTCTTGCCTCTCATAATTCAAACGCTCGTCAAAATCATAATTGTTGCATATAGAGATGGTCAAATATATGTTTCATATATGGTTGGCTTAGCTGGTTTTGTTCGCCATACTATAGGTTTCATCAAGTGTGTGTCAATGCATGAAAATGGGCATTTTTGCCTATTTCAGGCTTTTGATTCGATCCAAAACCTGCTCTGATCGACTCACACAGCGAGTCATTTTAATGAATTAGTCTTAGGAGGACTCGCGTCGACCCTCCGATCGACTCATACTATGACCATTTGTATTTGGCTAAAATTGCATATTGTGCATCGACGCATGTCATGCTCCGGTCGATGCATAGTCCTGATTTCTGCACAATCTTGAATTCGGGTAAGCTCAAGTCGACCCCTTTACTGCATAGGTCG